AGAAGGCAGGGATGGATGGGATATTGGGCAGAAATTGTTCTCTGAGGGGGTATATGCTCCCACAGCCAGAGGGCAGGGATGGATGGGATATTGGGAATTGGGAATTGTTCCCTGGGAGGGGGCTGGCCCTGGATCCCTGGAAGTTTTTTACTCTTTTCCCCTCCTTTCCTCTGTTGGTGCTGAGCCCTGTGTGAGCCCTGCAGTGCCTGCAGCCCTGATTCCTTGCAGTGAGACCCCTGTGTGCCCCCAGCCAGCCCAGCTCTGCTCTTGCACACGAGTCAAGCCCAGTTTGGAAGGAGCTCAGCCCTGGTGCTGCCTAAGCCCGGAGCTAACAAACCTTGCCCGGGTGGGAGCAGGATCACTCCTGGCCAGCTCGGAGCCAAGGAGAGCTTCCCTTTGTGCTTTCCTTGGGTGTCCCCGCTGGGCACGGCTGGGATTTACAGCGCTCCAAAGCAAAACAGATCCTGCGGAGCCGCGGCCCCAGCACGGGGCAGGGACCAGGAGCAGCTTGTGCGGGGAAATTGGGGGTGAGGAGGGAGGGCAGCAGCAGGGCTGGCTGCAGCTCCTGCCCTAAGGAACTTCAGATCAAGTGGGAGGTTCCAGCGTGCGTGAAATGATGTTTTGTTGCTAAAAGACCTGATGGGAGCATTGCCCATGCCCTAAACACTTGCCTGTGTTTAGGTTGTCTTGTCCTTAGTGTGTCTTATCCTTTAAAAACCACACCACCACATTATATTGGCATTTCCCTGAGTAACTGCTTTAAATAAACCCAGAATATCCCTTCTATTCTACTTTGGTACTGCAAATGGCCCAGATTTGAATGAGAAGCTGTAGGAGAGACCTGCAAAGAAACAAAGGTACCGGACCTTCAAAGAAACAAAGACCAAAATCCCCAGGAGATGATCCTGAGCTTCTGAAGGCAAACAGTGGAGATGGATTTTAACTGAGCAGCTGATTTTGTGCATGAGGATTGATGGGCAGTGATCAGGAGCACCTGTGGGGTGACAGAAACCAGAGAAAACACCACAGAGCAAAACTGGTCACATTGAAATAGTTATATATTATAGAAATAGTTATATATTATAGAAATTATATATTATAGAAATAGAATTAGCTGATTAAACTCTTTCTCTATTATAGAGTATAAAATTTTTGAATATCTAGACAGGATAACAGCAAAGATAAATCTTGTTGTGATAACTGCATAAAGAAGATGCAATAATTATGTCATTAAACCAAACAGAATACATCTAGGAAAAATCTATGTGCTGCATTTAGCTGTTAGCTTAAATTGATGGATTTGGCTTCAGTTTTCTGTTTGAGATGCTCAATTAGTTAAAGGAGGAACATTTCATGTTAAAAAGGCATTTTTATATTAGTAATGAAAGAAACCAACATTATCTCCATTCAGTTTTATTTAAAATATTTGTTCATTTTTCCATCATAGGTGGAAAATAGATTGAGATAGATTGAAATCTTGCTGGTGAAATTAATAATGGGCATATGTCTTCAAAGTGATCATTTATTGGGTTTTTTTGGGCACTTTAGCCAAACTGTTTCACTAGAACTTGTGTCCTGCCTTTCTCTGCCCTTTAAAGGGCCATGAAAGAAGGGAGGGGCAGAAAAACTGATATTTTCATGGAGCTGTGGTGGCCCTGAGGACACACCATTCCTTCTCCATACCATGGTAACTTCTCCTGCTGCCAAGCTGTGTGTTAAACCAGCCTCACCAATTATTTTCTCCTTTTTCCTTCCCAGAATGAAATCAATGAGGTTCCTTTTTTCGACGTGCAGCTCCCTTACGAGCTGGCACTGAAGATATTCCAGTACCTGGGCAAGGCTGAGCTGGGCAGGTGTGCTCAGGTGAGTGCTGCTGCCAGTTTGCTGCTCTGATTGCACTAAAAACTGGCAGAAATAGTGAAAAACCAGGCACCTCGACCTTCCTCACCAAGGAACTCAGCTGGTTGTGCTTTCACTCACAGGAGGCAGTTCCAAAGCTGGATATTGGAAATGTGATGGTACATGAGCTGGATTTACAGCTGCACTTGAGCAGAGTTAAATAAAACATCTGTGGCTTGGGCAGCAGCAAAGCCTTAGAATTGAAAATAAATAGTGCAGAGATATTTTGATTTGAATGAGTGTTTTGAAGCATTTTTGATTCAGTGTTTAGGACTCAGCACTTGGCAGTGCTGAGGGCATGGCAAGAGCTGCTCCTCCCAGTTTCCAGCATGGGATTGAACCACAGACTTTGGAGTAACTTTTTGTCTGTGAGGTTAAATTCTTAAATGACTCTGATTTCCTCTCCCCAGCCCTGCAAGGGGTTTATATTTTTCTTTTCTGACACTTTCAGATAATGCTCTCAGCAGTCTGTACTCAGGCATGGTCCTTAATTTACGTGTAGTTGTAAACTCCCTGTCTCTTCCAGAACTTTACTGAAACACTCACTCTCACCTCATTCTGCTCAGGTTGTTCAGCCCACACTGTTGGGCCTCTTTATTTCCTTTCTTCACACACTGAATGATGAATCTCCTCTCTCAATGAGTCGTCAAAGCCAACTTAATTTGCAAGTGCTGATTACCCAGTGGAATCAAGCAGAATATTGTGGATATAATTCCATCTTCTCCTGTGGCCACTGTTTAGGGTTCCAGGCTGGTGATCATTAACTTACACATACAGAGCTCATCTTGCAACCTCACAAAAACCCAATCTGAACCATTCTTTGTGTTACAAACAGTCCAGGGCATGGTTTGAGTGGAAGAGAAAAATGTTACTGTGTGAAAACTGAGAAGTGACAGACAGGGTGTGTTGAGGATGGCTGAACTTAAATATTCTGCAGATGGTCCAGGCATTGAAAGGAAATTGGGCTTTTAATGTTCAGTGTGAGTGTGCTGTAGTGTTAAATAGCTACAAGTGGTTATTGCTTAAATCTTTGAGTTGCTAATGCCTTTTAGGGACAGGGACTGTTTAAAGAAAATTAATTCCTTGTGCAGGGCTGCTCTTGCAGAGGGGAAAATTCTCTAGGATTATTTTTTGGTGCTGTCCAGGACAGGGAAGTTTTCAGATGTGCTCAAGTTTCTGTCCCTTGGGGTTGAGATATGCCATCAGTAAAGGCCACAGCCCATGGCATGGAACAGGGTTGCATTTTTGAAGTGGATTAGTTTAAGGTTTTTCTTTGACTCTTTTTCCCCCTCCTTAGGCATGATCACTTTACCTCATGGCATAGTAAAAAGATTGGCTGCTAAGGCTGCTCCTTTTCCCTGTGCTTAGGGCTGCACTGGATTTCTCTCCACTTTGCTTTTTAGCTTGAACCTGTTCTCATAAGATGTGTTTTAACAGAGACAGTTTTCCACATTTCTCATTCTCCTGTTCCCAAGTCACTGTTCCTTTGTGGCAGCTGAGCGAGTGCCCAGTGTTTCACAGGGCTTTCCCAATCAGATGAATATCCAGTGCAGAGCTGGCTTCTTTTTAACTGTTCAAATAAAAAGCAGAGCCATAAAAATAAATAGCATTTTCATTTTTCTCCTGGTGGTTTTGTTTTTGAAGGGGGGGAGCCCTCTTCTGTTCCATGGAAAACCCTGCTGCTTTATGGTGTTATCCTAGAAAGGTTTTTTTTTTATGAAGGTGCCTTGGGATTTCAGTGAAATTGGGCCAGTTGGTGGAATTGGCATCATGATCCATGTGAGTGCCTTTGGAGAAAACCTGTTTGCTTGGTTCTTTATGCCAAATTGGTAACCAGCTAACAGGAAAGGAGCCTGACTGCAGAGCCTCTCTGAGATTTAATCACACCACAGACTGTCTGGAGAACTTGAATTTCACCTTGATATTTCCCTCTCCCGTGCTCCCCCACAGCTTTTCTCTGATTTTTGGAATTAGTAGTGTAAAGCACAGCCTGTCTGTGTGGCACTGGAAGTACAGGAGTCTGTAAATGAATAAAGCTCAGCTCCTCAGAGCCTGAACTCTGCTGGGTCTGCAGTAGGGGGTGACATTCAGCAGCTTCCACCACACCAGTCCCTGTTGATATCCCACCTTTGGAATTCAAGGAGAAAAGTATCCAGGGCTTCATGTAGCACAGAACAGGCCAGGGTAAGGCAGAATGCTGCCCTGTGAGCACTTTCTGATTGTGTTCTGACCATTGGCAGAAATATCTGTACCATGAATGACTCTCCTGTGGCTGTTACAGGTTTGGGGACAGTCACTCCTTCCTCCTGGTCAGGGTGTACAGGGAAAGGAAAACAATCCCAACACCACAAATGTCACAAACTGAAGTGTCCTTGTGTGATTTAGGGCTGATACTGTAAATACATTTATTTTATAATTGTATGGCTTGGAGACCTGGCCTTTATGGTTCAGCTTGGTGATGAGGGGATGTGTTTGAATTCAGCAACACTGAATTTTGGCAGTTTTGTTTCTGTGGGAAATTCCTTTGACCTGTTAGGTTTTCATCTTAGAGAAGGTTTAGGAGTGTTTACCAACACAGGAATTGTGTATGTATCTAGGGCAAGGGAGACTGTTTCTAGGAATTTAGGAATGAATTGTCATGCATAAATCAAGATTTTCAGCTGGATCCCTGGGAATGTCCCAGGCCAGGTTGGACAGGGCTGGGAGCAGCCTGGGACAGTGGGAGGTGTCCCTGCCCATGGCAGGGGTGACACTGGGTGGTCTTTAAGGTCCCTTCCAGGCTAAACCATTTTGTGCTCGGGGCTGTGAGCAGAAAAGATGAGCAGCTTCCATCAGAATGGCTTTGGATTAAACACTTGGCACTGTTTCTTGTACTGAGCTCAAAGTCCAGCGAGTTCTAATTGAGGCCCCTGGTCCCAGCAAATGAGCCTTGACTCTGCCTTTGTGTGTCTGGGGAAGAAAATAAACCTAGTGAAATAAAAACCATTATCAGATGCAGAGGGATGAATAAACCTTCATTAGGATTTGAGCCAGTTGATTTAGATGGGATTAGAAGAAATTTTGGATTTGATGGAAGAGGTGGGGTTTTTTAGGGGGAAAAATATCCCCCAGAGGCAAAACCAAATAGCAAAGCCTGTGTCAGCAAAAGCTTTTGAAGTCCTTCAGAACATTATTACTTGCTGAACTATAAAATATAAAACTGTCCCTCTGTGGAGCTCAAGGGAACCCAAACTTTCTTTGCTGAGAGCAGTTGTAAAAAGATAATAGGAACACTGAAGACAAAATTAAATTCAGGACTCCAAATCTATAAACAAGTCTGTAAGATGTTGTCATTGATCCTTGCTGGAGTTTCTGTTCAGTTTAGATTTGGAAAGAGTTTTAACAAGAGCTTTGCACATCTCAGCTGCTCTCCAGCACCCAGCTTTTGGGTGCATGTAAATAAAGCCATAATGCCCTGGCTTTTGGGGCCTCACCTGAAACTCCAAGTCAAGCAGATCTAATCAAGCTGACTTGAAGCCAATGGCTGGTTTTAATGCTGCAGCTCACAGTGGTGCTGTAAAGTGAAATGCTTGAGACTCTTTATTAGTGATTTCGTGCAGCTGAGCCTCACTCAGTGGGGTTTTACAAGGGATTGGCATGTGAGTTTGGGGCTGTAAGGAAAGGCTGGGTTAGGGACCCTTTGGAAATTCAGGCTTGTAAAGCAGCAGGGTTCACTGTAATTTGATTGAAAAAAAATCAGGATAGGATAGGATCTTTATTCCCCCTGAAAGTTGAAAAGGCAGGCAGAATTTTATGTAGTTCCCCCCCCTTTTCTTTTTTTTTACTGTCTTTATAAAATGCTTTTAAGACCTTGAAACTTGAAAGGTCTGTGCAATATTGTCTGTTTTGGCAAGCTGAAAGGTGTGTGTTTATTTTTGATTTTTCTTTTGGAAAGCAAGGCAAGAGCTGGCCTGGTTTGGCTGTGCTTCCCTGTGCGTGTGCTCAGCCTGTCCCTGTCAGGAAAATGTTGCTGCTGTTTGGGGAGGGGGCAGAGGTTCTGCCTGGGGGGGCTCCACTCCTGCACCACAGCTGCTCTTCTGGTGTGTCAGCAGAAAGCTGCTTTGGGGTTTTGGGTTTTTTTTTTGTGTTCTTGGAGCAATAACACAGATATTTATCCTACTTTTAAATCAAATTGAGAGCAAATTCCTGATGGTTTGGGTTTGGGATTGCCTCTCTTTGGTGCTTTTGAAGTTCTGAGTGTGTCCCTCCAGGGACAGGAGCGCTCAGCACTTGGATTGCAGGGTGCTGTGTGTTGCTGGAGCAGCCTCAGTGCTGGTTCTGTCATTTCAGGGCATTTTTCTTGCCCTGTGCAGGTTGTTTCCTTTGTCTGAGGATGGACAGGGATTGTCTCCCTCTGCCACTTTGTTCTGAGGGCTCTGGGTGATCCAGAATGTTCATTTTGCTGCTTTTGGATATTCCTATTTGAGCATTGCTTTTCTCTGTAGCTCTCAAACCTTAAAAACACTTGCAGGTTACTCAGATCACCCCTTCTTTCATCATATTAAACATTTTCTATGTGTGTGTCACTATGGAAAAAATGGCAAATAAATATAAAGAGATGGTCCTGGGGGAGTTTGTGTCCATGTGAGGCTTGGATTCTTGGCATAATCTGGGGACTGAAATGAACATTAGATGCTTAATTGTAACTTACTAAAAATGATGTCAGTCTCAGAAGGTTCTTTTAATCTTTTTAGAACCAGAGCACAATTGATTGCTGCTTTCACCAGTCGTGGCTTTCATTGGTTACATCTGTTTTTTTAAATTAAGAATTACAGAGGAAAAAAAAAAAAAGCTACTTAAGTTGGCTCTTACCTCTTGAATCTTTAATTCTGAGCCCACAATTGATTGTGATGAAGCTGTTCTCTCTGGAATGGGCAGCAACTTGAGGCTGCTTGAAAAACTTAATAATTCATTCCTATTTATGCATACTGTAATACAATAGGTTATAAATCACTAATGTCATACCCCTAATCAGGCATTGTCAGTGGGACTTCAGAGATATGGTGCTGTGATCTGAGAGGGTTTCTTAGCTACAAATATGAAAATATATTCATATTTTTGCTCTAAGCTCACAATTCTCTCTTAATTGTTTTCTTGCTGCTTTTCCTGTCAAAATTTTCCAGTCACTGATATTTCAGGTTGACAGTGTGGCCACTAAACTGCTGTCTATGTTATGCGGAGTTTCAGTGGAGTATAAACTCATTTATTTCCTGAAGAAACCACAGAAAACAAGCCTTTTGTTAAAAATCTGGGGTTTTTATACACTCAGGTGTATAAAGATTGAACAAATATATTTGTTAAAGTAAGACTTTCATATTAATTTATTAATATTAATAATATCTCTTGTATTAATTTCTGTCTTAATATGAAATATTAAATAGTATCTGAAATATAAAATCTCATTTTTCCTTATCCATTTATGAGAGATCCATATATAAACATTGATTTCTAGGTCAGCAGGACATGGAAAATCCTTGCAGAAGACGAAGTGTTGTGGTACCGGCTGTGCCAGGAGGAGGGATACCTGTTGGACATGAGCATCTCTGACCATTCCTGCTGGAAACTCGCCCTCAAAAACTGCAGAGCCAGAGAGCACATGCTGAAAACCAACTGGAAGGTGAGAGGGAAATGAAGGAATTGGGGAAAAATTGGAATGGGGAAAAATTGGAATGGGGAAAATTGGGAACCTGCTTAGAGCGAGGTGGGAGAGGAGAGTTGGTGCTGATTTCTGCAGCTTCTCTTTCCCAGTTGAAAGCTGCTGGGGGGTTTTGGGGTAGCAGTAGCAAAGCTGGGGGTTTGCCAGCAGCAGGTTTTGGTGGATAAAGGAATGGGAACCCCAGCCCTGTGTCTCTCTGCAGAACCGTGTGGGTGCCGTGAGCCAGCTGCACTACGAGCCCGGCCGCGTC